TATATATATATATATATATATATATATATATATATATATATATATATATATATATATATATATATATATATATATATATATATATATATATATAGTTTTTCGTTTTACCTCAAAAAACCACAACAGTCTGTTTCATCCGTATTCCTATACGGATGAAATATGTAGCAACGAGGGGATATGTGATTTATCCATCGAGGTGCGCAGCGCCGAGGTGAATAAACACATATGCCCGAGGTGCCTCAAAATAACGTACTTATTTTTCACATTGCGAGGTCGCGTTAATGAGTCAGAATAGAAATGATTCTTAATGCCATATTGCCTTCGTTATATTGTTTTTTCTCATTTTTTTGTTCTGCACGCAAAGACATTGCAGGTGAATATTAGAGGGGAATATTAATTGCAGGTGAATATTAGGGGGGAATATTAAACGGGAATTGATTATAGGGGAATACTGAATATATTCGCCGCTAAACATGGGCGTACAGGAAGGAAACAATTAAGGGGGGGGCGGAAAGACATTTGTCCGACTTTTTCGGATTGTGCCCGACCAGTACCGAAAATTTTTTTCCAGAATTTATTTTGGCGATCTCTCCTACACAATCACCCCCCTCCCCCACCCCCGTCGCCAAAAACGTTTCGGTCAATGTACCATTTTAGGGGTCAAAAATTTTTTCGAACATACCAAAATTTTTCGGGACATCACAGAAATTTTCCAAACATCACAAAATTGAACACAAAATTTGTCCCATTTATTTTTATAATAAACCAAAATTGCCCGACTGTTGATCGAATTTTGCCCGTCTGCCCAACAAAGGGGGGGGGGGACTGCCGCAATCAATCCCGAAATTGAAGGCTTTATGTAGAAGATTCATACAGTATATATAATTTAGACCTAACCAGCTGCGGAAAATAGAACTGTAGCCTATCGAACCTACGGCCCTGCGATTCGGTTGCAACGCTCTAACCAACTGAGTTACCGCAGAGTCCAGTTGCCAAGCTCCAACCACAAGTTCTGGTTTATATAGTATATAGTACAGGTGATGCATTATAAGATATGAACATGTTGAAGCCGGATTTATGTAGGGTGGAAATTTTAAGCAGAAATTTCAAGAAAAATCCCGAACGCAGATGGAGATTTGTATAGTGTGATTTCCAGCATGAGCTCCACCTTTGAATTTATTATATGAGTAAATTGTTAAACACGTCCGAATTTATCAATATGCCAAATTCGCGGCACCTAACCCTTAATCAGTGCTGTAGAAGTGGGGGATCGCTTGAGGGCGGAGCCCCCCTTCTTCAAACTCTGGGGAGGGGACTGAGCGAAGCCCCCTTCTACTTTAGAAAATCGAGAATTTATTATGTCACAGAGGAGATTCAGTCATCTGGCGATACTAAATACCGACTGTACTCATGTCCAAGAACGACAAGAGAAAACGTAACTTTGGTTCATTTACGGAGCAGGATATCTGTTCTAAGAAAGATAAGACGATAAGTTTGGAAAATGCAATTCAAATTACGCTTAAATATAAGGCATTAAATATTGAAGAAAAAAATGTATTCAAGGAAAATGTACTAAGCGAGTAACCTGTATACAATGGCTTGCTTAAGAGTCGTTCAAGAAATTTTTAAGAGAAACTATAGCAGGTTTTATTGCATTTCCGGGGTTCTGACAAGTCTCAGATTTCAAAATTCCCCAGATCCCCAGTCCCAGAAGGCTCATGCTTTCGGCGTTTGCTAGCCCCCCCCCCCTCACATAAAAAAATGCCGTCACGGTAAGGGCTATAGGTTTACCCCTGGTCACTCGTGGTCATCGTATGACTCACCCCTGGTCATCGTATGACGACACTTTTTTTTACAATTTCACGGCTTCACGCTCGTCAAGAGAGCCCCCCTCCCCTCTGGTAAATTTAGTTCTACAACACTGCCCTTAACCCCTAACCCCAACCCTATTTTTGTGTTACACAGCTTCGATCACTTTATATATACCCATTATCAGTAGCCTTGCCTGCTCATTCAAGTGCTACAGTATGTATATATATACTGAAAAAAATCAATAAAAAATAAAAAAATATAAAAATAAAAAAATACAGAAATAAAAAATACAAGAATAAAAAAATACAAAAATAAAAAAATACAAAAATACAAAAATAGAAAAATCAAAAAATACAAAAATCAAAAAACACAAAAAAAACAAAAATCAAAACTGAATACAAAAATCAAAAAATACAAAAATCTAAAAATACAAAAACTGTTTTGTGCTGTCGCGTCTGGGCTTCTCTTAATTTTAAAATCTCTTAAAACAAAGCAATACCGCACTAATAGTTAAAAACTCCACAAGGTGTATAAAAAAACTGAACCCTTTCAAATTCAAATTAGCTATAACGTATTGTAGTAATTTGACAGCTCTTATTGCTTTGAATTAGTGGTTGGGTAAAAACAAAAGGTCTTGTACTCATGGGACAAAATTCTTAAAAACTTTTAAATTTTTAATTTAAAAAGTTAATTAATTCAATCCATAAATTCAAAGCAATTAGAGCTGTCAAATTACTACAATACGTTATAGCTAATTTGAATTTGAAAGGTTCAGTTTTTTTTATACACACTGTATATCAACTTGCATTTTAGCGACAAAATTAATTTTAATCTTCAAAAGTGGTCATGCACATTCAACTGAATGTACTCAGTTGCACCTCATTCCCGAGGCAAGTGACGTTCCAGATGTAAGCCCACGAGGGTAGTAATTCGGCCCGGCTCTACAACCCGATTTATTAGCCATAGCGAAGTGCAAATTAAGATGTTCTTCATTATGTGATGGAGGGTATTCGACATCATGCGCGCGTGCGCGAGTGGAAGATCCCGCTTAGAACATTTTGTCGTTCATTTTGGAAAACGTTAAGCTGGCTCCCTACAGTTATAGTACAGTTTAAAACGTACGTAGTTATACTGTATAGATCGGACCTCATCATCGCCACCCGCGCGTACTTATAGAATCTTCGTGGCCCGGTAGAAATCTTGAAACAAGCCGCAAGTTGTTTTTAAGTATATCTCAGTGGTTTTTATCCACAAAACGCCAGTTTTCATGTAATATTAATCCTAAATTTCTCAAAATTCCAACAATACGTTTGTTGTTAGCAAGTTTTTAACATACCTTTTAGTGTGTTTTTACGCATTTATGTTCAGCATATAGTCATTTGTAATGCTCATAATTTTCAACAACAGTGTCGCGGACTCGAATGATAATTTATTACTGCCTTCAAGGCACTCTTGAACTGTCACCGAAACCCTTATTACTCACTCAATCCTATACATCGATGAAAACAATCTGCTGCAAATATAAAATATCGCGTGGTCTCAAAGCCCGTATATATTGGACTATATGTATATATTTGTCAATTTTAATAATTTTACTTTTAGACGGTGAAGCAAATGAATAGTTAAATACTAAAACGTTTCCATCCTTTTATGACAAACAGTAGTAGACAAAAGTGCTTGACTGTGGACATATGCATAAATTTAATGACTTCTAGTAGCCGGAATATATAATAATATCACGTTTACGTATTTTGGGCAACCCTATAGGCAACACATCCTTAATTTAAATTGAAAAGGTCTGAATGCATGCATAATACTTCTTTTGACTTTATAACAAATGCGCTATTTCTAATTCATGTATATCCACGTAGACTGTACAAAATATACACTATTAACATTTTACTATATTAGCAATGTATAACCAATTACAAATTTTAGAATTGTAACCGTCCCTCGGCGTAAAACGTAAACTATAGATATAGTCCTATACACAACAGCGTCAGAATAGTATATACTTTCCTACTTTCTTAAAGTAACTCTAAACAGTTATGGTATAACAGAGAACCTGTTGGCCTGTAAAGTACATGGTACTGCTGTTCTATATAATATACAAATGATTGTGGCTTAGAACACCAAATTAAGACTTTGTCGTCCACAAGCGCTTCACAATCTTCATTCCTTCACGAAGCAGGATCGAATTTCTCCAGAAAAATATGAGACAGTTGAACGTCGAGTTCATGGAGACAAATGTGTGCACCCACAGCCTAAATAACACGAATTGTCTATCGTGCAATGGCGTTTCTGACGTCAAACGCAAAACAGAATGTATAATTTGCGGACAATAACAGATGAAAAAACAGGCAACCGCCAAGGAACATATCGAAGTAGCTTTAAAATTTAGCGCGCGTTGTTTTCTTCCTTCATCTCCGGACGTTGCAACAACCTGTTTAGCCCTGAATATTGACTTGACGATGGTAATCATTTTGAAGTTGAAGTAAATAAACAGGAGCAGCAAAATGGAGAGGTAACACATTACCAAAATATACGCCAGTGTTTTTAGATTAACGATCTCCGACCATGTGATCAGACCGGATATTAAAAACGTTGAAAATGCTTGAAGAATTAGAAGCCTTTTCTTAGTGACTGATGTTCGATGGAAAAGTGGAAATGTTAAGCCCAAGAGTCTTTCAATGTTCAGGAACAAGAGCGCTGTCGTGGAAAACACATAAAGGTTACCACATATGTGTGTCCTTATCTGTTCAAGGAGTTCACTTCGACCTTCGTTAGACCAGAATATTGTTGATAATATTATTACAGGATGAGTGATGGTTACTACAGCCAGATCAAAACAAGATAAAACAAGAATCATAAAGTGGCATAGTTTCTTTCGAAGTTGTGACGACCTTCTTAGACTGATTATAACCACAGTATTCAGAAATATTCCAGCAACCATGAAGGAAACATTCAAAAGACACAGAAATTGCGTGTTAATAAAAGTGCTTCGATTCATTGTAGGTTTTGCGTCATGTAATTTTTTCGCGTTCCAATTTTCCTGTTAAAGCGTGTTCTGTCTCACATTGAATATAAGAATATATGTGAAAAATTCTATATGCACCTGCACATTTATTGATTTAGAACATCTTTTGTGCCGACATGTTGAAGTACACCTTATGCCAGACTGACGTTATATTCAAGTACGGCTTACGCAAATGGTCTTAAAAATAATAATAATAAAATAATAATAACTACAAAGCCGTACCGTCCTCGTATAAATTAGTGTGTTCGTTTTTCACTGTTTTTGTCAACACGGACATCACCCGAAAATTGCTTTAAATTAACTCAATTTGGCAGCATTCATCATCATACCGCTCGTGTAAGACTGAAAGTAAAACTGTACGTTTATTCAGAAATGTTGAAGATTACCGCGGACACAAAACGGGTTTTATAATCAAGTCTGCCCTCGGCAATCTGGCGTTCGTATCAGCAAAAACGTTGTTTTCTTAGGCTCCCTATATTAAATCATCAGTTACTTCGCCTCGGCCTGTGTAAAAAATTCGCTCCGTGATAAAACAATAAGTAATTGAAGTGCGTAAGCCTGACACGACCAATACTGCATGCATAGTAACGACACAATTGCTGAAATTGCACAGTGCAGCTTCTTTGACTATAGTTCATTTATTTATTTGAAATTATGATAACTTTGTCACATATATCGCACATTATACATGACAATACTCTTAATTAAGCTCTTAAACAAAGCAATACCGGACTTATAATTAAAATTCTACAGTATATTAACTGCATGGCACTTTAGCGACAAAAATTTAATATGTTAATCTTCAGATGTGGTCATGTACAACTGAATATTCTCGTGTGCACTTCATTCCCGAGCCAATCGCCGTCCCGGGCGTAACCTCAAGCGGAGGGCACTAATTCTGCTCGGCTATTTACAACACGATTGGTGAGAATAAACCGAAGCGCAAAGACATCCTTCATTATGCGATGAACCGTTTTCTACGTTGTGTGCGTGCGCGAGTAGAAGCTCCCTAGCTCTTAGAACATTTGGTTTTTTATTTTAAGGCGACTCCCTATACTTATAGTACAGTCTACAGCGTTCTTATGTAGATCATGCAGACGTCATCCTCGCGACTTGTGTGTGGAATCTTCGTGTCACGGTTGAAATCTTGAAATGAGCCGCAAGAAGTTGTTTTTGAGTATATATTATACATTTAATGTCTGCTCCCGAGGGAAATAGTTAGGTTTGTTTTCCCGAGAATCTCAATGTTTCCCGAGACGAAGTCGAGGGAAACATTAAGATTCGAGGGAAAACAAAACTAACTATTTCCCGAGGGAACAGGCATTAAGTGTTTTGTTATATAGCGACGAACAAAAATCCACTTCTACAACATTCATACAACAATTGTATTTCGTGACGAAAACTCTATAGTGTAAACGAGTTTAAAATTAAAAGAACCTACTTAAACGGTTTCAGCAGCATATCCTGTTGCCTGTTGTGTATTTTTCTTCTCTTTTATATTCTTTATTTGAACACAAACTTGGAAAATCGTAGTTTCTAATTATCCGAGTTGTGCCTCCATTTTGTTTATTTATGTACGTGGCCGGTCGGGGCGGGCAACAATTTTTCACTTGTTGCCCGGCGGGAAACATTGCATTTATCTGAGGTCACGTGACCACAAATCAGTCAATCACGTTTGGTGTTCATGCTAGCTATATAACAAAGCATATTATCCAAAGAATGCCAGTTATT